CGTTCGCTAGAGCGAAACGAGTGTAAAAATGGAATGCGAAAGATTTGAGAATCGCAGCAAGATTGACGATAAAAACTGACGACGCGCAGAGCGAAGCTATGACAACTCATTGTCATTGGTGCTTTCCCATATGTTGCAACTGCTGGGAAGTAGTTTTTCATTCATTCCTCAAGGTTATCATTCCCTAAAATTCCTCTTACCTTGTCAGCGGGCGAATCGTTGCCATTCGGGGACGCCGGCTGCAATTTCGGTACAGTTCTCGCGTACATTTCACGATCGTCTATAACGAAATTGAATGAAAACTGTGTCACGATTTTCACGAGACAAGTGTCTTGAAAGGACTGGTTCTTCTCTCGTCAGGCTGGTTAGTTTTAATGAGATGCCGCCACAGGTTTGAAACCAATATCGGGAGTGAAGGAATAAATAAATACTAACCACCGGAAATCTTTAAATCGATCGAAACGATTTGTCCTTGCTGAGTCGAATGATTCACTGCTTTTTCTACAGAACGGTTGTCACATAGTGTCACATTTATTTATGGCGTCAGCAGAATGATCATGCGAAGGGGGAATGTTCGAAAATCTACAAGACATCTAAATTGAAGATATCCTCGTCGCGGTGTTAACGAAAAAGAAAAAGAAAAAAAAAAACGTAATAACCGCAAGGTTGAAGTTTTTTTTTGATTCGATGTAAAAATAATTTGTAACGATCAGCAAACAGATCTGTCGCACAGATTGCACCCACACGAACGCAAGCATCTACTTGAGTCATCGGTTTCCGTTTAACCTCAAAATATGAAAGTCATGACATTTGTCCGAGAGAGCCAGCAACTGTAAAAAACTGTCGGAACAAATCTTCAAAAGTATGTGAACTTTTTCATCATTCTCGATAGAGGGAAGTTGACCATTTGTACGTAATCTAAAGTTAACCAAAGTACATCGCGAAAGGCCTGCAATTGAACGAAATTCTAGCAGATATTAACTGATTAACTAAATTAATTCAGTATGAAACATTTTCTTTCCAAGGCAAGTAGGTTGTTGCCCTTAAAAACCTCCGCCGCTGATAATATCGTCCATCTCTTAAAAAGAAAAAAAAAAAAAAAAAAAAA